GAGTTTGATTAGGTTTCCAACGCTCCAGGTATGCCAGTTTTTCTTCCCCGGCCAAAGGTCGGATACTTTTCTCACAGGCCTCGTACATTACCCTTTCGTTTTGAAAACTAATTAAACGTCATACAGCCTACATTAGAAAAATCGGATTGCACAAACGATAATAACAGTAAAATCACTATTTCACTTGAAACTCCATAAATGACGTGTTTAATGAAATAAGACTTATTGACAAAATAGTTTTGTTGTATAAATGATACGATTGGAAATTTAGAGTGCACAGGAGATAATATGGTAAATTTCGCCCCCGGGAATTAGAGTTTCAACCCAAATAGGCGATATAAACATAAAAAAGTTCAAAACAGAAGGTGTGGCAAGTTGAAAACAAAACACAACAAAACAAAAAAATCGAACGAAATATTAATTCAGTGAAAATAGAAAATTACGTCAATCTTGTTTTTCTCAATAATGAATACAGCATTGTAAGTAAAACTTTTCTTTAACCATTTTTTACATACAAACATTTACAGGGTGTTAGAAATGTCTGTACCCATAGGCGATTCGCAGCTTAAGTTCCGAGCTTGGTTAGCTGACACTTCCCAGGACATTGGATTGGCAGAGGTGGTCCCCAGAAATGAGCCCCCGCAAGATCTTTGGACTTGACTCCCATCGATTTCCTTTTCTGGGGACTGCTCAAGGCACGTGTGTACAAAGAGAAGATCAAGGACACCGAAAATCTGAAACAATGAATTCGCGAAGACTGTCGGACCATTGACAATGACAGGAATATGCTTCAAAGAGAATAGAAATACCGCCTCCAAACATGTTTCGAATTACGAGGACAGCATGTGGAACATGGAAATGCCTATGGTTTAAGATGTTTCGGACACCCTGTACTTCTGTGCACACTAAGTCTTTTTTAATAATGCAAATGAAATTATAAGCGTACAAGTATTCGAATTTATTGGACATTTGTGTGAAAAACGAATAATGTAAGGTGGATATTATTTCATGAATATAGATATGGTTTTGGACCAACACTTTACCAAAATCATACTAATAGTCTTTCTTTGTTTTGTAAAATCTATTATTATTATTATTATCATCTAGAAACAGATCAGTGTCAGACATTATATCTTTGCTCATATTTTTATTTGAAGCAGTAACAATATCATTCATAAGAACATATGTAAATTATATCTTTTTTTATATTATTTATCAAAATGATTTGTTTTATTTTTCATAATATATCTAAAGTTAAGAACAGAAATGTATACAAACCTACAAACTTCTTTCCATTAACAGCAGTTAATGGTATTCGTTGTCCGTCTTCTCTCCGCCAGGTGACAGTAGGTAATGGATATCCATCAGCTTTGCATGTCAAAACGACGTCAGCTCCCTCTCGTATTGTCATATCCGAACTACTTTCAGTCTCATTGATATGTGGTGGAACTTAATTAAAACAAAAGATGTAGCATTATACATATATATATATAAAGAAAGGTATCCAGTTGACTCCAGTGTGAAATTGTGATAAAATTGAAATAATTATTGATCATATTATTATTATTTTAGATAGACTTTCCACATGGATATTGCAATTATACACTAAAATAACCAATGAAAAATGCTTCTCAGTGCAATTAAGTGTATGATGTTTACTAACATAGTCCTCGGACATAGTCCCCCGGTAAGTCTTCGGATTTACAACGCTAAAATCAGGGGTTCGATTCCCCTCGGTAGACACATGCAGATAGCCTGATGTGGCTTTGTTATAAGAAAACACCCACATAAACGCAGGTGTTATGCGTTGAAACTATGAATTATAAAGGGAAAACATTTTCTGTCTCCGCGCCCACAAAATTCTTTCTCAATCGAAAAGCTTAACAACATGTTTGCCATTACATGAGTGAACAAATCATGACAGATCTATTGCAAACGTTTTCCCCCACACGCACAAGGAAAGTGGCGTTGAATCATATTAAACTCAACAAGAGACTCAAATCAAAATATATGATCATTGAATGTTGATATAAAAAGAGTTTACCCTAAACAAAAATTGTTGTAATAGAAGATTAACTTAATACATACAGCCACTTTTTTGAAAAGATGAATGAGAAATTAATTAATTTTATGTCTCCAATGCGTCAACTATATTTTTGATCACAATTTAATTAAAGTATTAATGCCAAGATAAGCTCCCGCTTACACATAATAATTCATTAACCCAAACTTTACTACAAATGAAAAGCTAACATTGTAAGACGTGTTGCATCTGTAACAATTGCAAAATTATAAACATTTCAACTTGTAGCACAATGCGAACGAAGCCATTAAAAGATAGGACCTAAAACATTATAATTCAGATATAATACTTTTATCTCAATGAACTACACAGATGTCTTGGAGTTATATTGAGAAAATTCATGATATTGTTGTGAAATGGTATGGTTATTTAGATGTTTATATTTTTGTTTGGCCAAGGGTAGGTTTGCGTAGTGTGATATGCGTGGCTTATTATAAGAACCTTCTAGAAATATTAGGAAAACAATTTTAGAGTTAAAGTAGATTTTTTTAATAATTGATTTGCGAATCTGTTACAGTTGTACGCTGAGTATTTATAAAGCTAAAACTGGGTATTAATACATGCGGTGAGCAATGCACTGATAGCTTATTTCGCATATTTATACTTAACAAGAAACAAAATCTGTTACAGTGAATAATTGTTTATTGGATCTATTATCAAGTTATATTGAATGTGAAGTTGCCAAACATTTTATTATCACCAAGTGGACTGAAATTGGTATTCTGCGCTTTACCAAATTATTCGAACGAACCTGGCCAACAACAGAAACCGTTACAACAACATTTCTATATTGTCTTTTCGTATCTGTAAGAAACAGTTCTAGCATGATATTTTTCAGCGGTTGGCGATGTCATCGTGAGTGATAACTGTTTAGGTGCACAAATACGTTCATATTATAATAACTTTATAAAGATGTTGTTGTCTACAAGGAATAATTAAACTTAGTAATTTTGTTGCAACACTTAAATTCTTCATATAGATTTACTTATCAAGTATTAACACTCCTCTGTGAAAAAAAAAGTTACAAAACAATTACACGTTAAACGGCGATACACTAACTTAAATATTTTTTATCAAGTTATTATATATTCGATTACTATTTGACTTTCTTCAAAAAATCCAAAATTTAAATCTCTTAATGATATGACAGTTTTTCAGCCCTCCAGTGGCTCAGCGGCATGATTAAGTGCTTACTCGCTAAAGTTCGGGTTTGAATATCCACGGTAGGCAATGCGCAGATAACCCATTGTGTAGTTTTGCGCTTAAAAACAAAACAAACAGTTTTTCAACTCTCTCATGGGCGGGTTCGAATCCGCATCACACCAAACATGCTCGCCCTTTCGGCCGCGGGGGCGTTATAATGTGACGGTCAATTCCACTATTCGTTGGTAAAAGAGTAGCCCAAGAGTTGACGGTGGGTGGTGATGACTAGCTG